CCAAATCCTGAGTTCTGGGATACAAAAAGTTCACACAAAGATTGTGTACATGTGGCTATTCCAGCAATTCCCCTCCCCTTTCCTTAACATAATTAGTGGGGGATCACTGGAGTCTGATCTCTGCTCTTAGATCATCAATTATCCTGTGAAGACATCAAACATGTATGCAGATAGGTGACCAGACTTTCCAAAGTCTTAAGGTAGCAAATGTATGAATAGAATTCTTCCATCCTTATTCCTTAAAATTTTCCTGACATTTTGAACATTCTAAGTTTGTTCTCACATTGAACCTCAGAGTTTAAAAATGTTAAGGATGTGAATGCTTAGACCTTCTTGTTAAAAAGAAAAAAATCATTGAGACACTGCTTCCCCTCAACTATGATAGTAATTTGACCAAACCAGGAAAATAACAGAAATGATAATCTCATTATTTCTCAGTAATCTGTTCCTTGATTTCTATATTGCACTAAAATGTGGTTTGTTTTACTAAAAATGGTCTTTACAAAAAGGTTTCAGATTAGAGCTTGCTTTCAAGTTAAAGCAGATCTACATAAAATGAAAGATTTTATATCTATAAGATGACACAAATATTATCTGTATCTCTCTTCAACACGTAGTGTGAAAATTTATTAGACAATGTCACAGATCACTTCAAATGTCTTTAAATAAGAGGCCTAATAAAGTATGAGAGAAACCTATACAAAATGTGAGGTATAAAGGTATGCATTCCAAGCAGTTCTTCTAAATATGAATAAAAGCACCCAATACATAAATGTTAAATGTACTATGACAAATCAGTCTGATATTCACAATCTGATGCCAAGTTTGCACCCAGTCTGAAAGCCATTCCCAGTCAGCCTAGCCTTCAATATTGCTTTCAATATTGTAAACTCAAATCAAATTTTAGCACACAGCTTTTCCTATAACTTAAAAGAAATCACTCTCCACCCCTGGACTACTTTTTTTTTTTTTTTCTGAGACAGTTTACTTTAGGTACAAAACAAGAACTCGATTAGCTCCTCCCACCCTTTCCAGGGAAATATTTGTAATATGAGGATAAAGGTGTCAGGAAAGAAGAAGAGTGTATATTCAGGTTTACACTAGTACCAAGAAATCAAATATTGGGGATTAATCCAAAGGAGGTGTCATGCTGCCAGCAATTATTTTTAAAAATCAAGCCAAAGAGGGAGGTAAAAGAAAGCAAAAGAAGGCAGGAGAAGAGAAGGATTGGGGGCTCACTCGGGACACACCACAGGCACAGAAGAAGTGGAGAAGAGGAATGGCTTTCTGCAAAATAAACAAGCAAATCCTTTTCCTTGTAAAACCAGAAGAGCTACAGGGCTGGCTGAAGCTTCACTTGTGTTTCTAGTAGACCACTAATATCTCCATTTCCTTCCCTCTACAAGAGAAGTCACAGGCACACGCACACATACACAACACTCTTTCTTTGGACCACGTCCCGAACAGCATCAATGGCACCAACATAGTTTATTACCATAAACCCATCTATTTATAAGTGAATTTTCCTATCAGATTTGTCATCACAGGGATTCGTTGTCAATGGGTTCAGAAGCAGAGAGAATTTTTTTAAATGGCAAGGGACTGCAGTTAATTTTCATTTCCTTCTTATGCTGAGCACCTATCCTTCACAGGCAAAACACAAGCTGTCATAAAGCCTATTACTACATCAACACTAACACATGTTACGAGCTTGGTAAAAAAGTAAAATAAGCATTGAAAATTCGATATATTAAACATGTATAGAACCTACTTTAAAACACCGGTTAAACAAGGAATCGGTGCATAGAAAGTCATATAATGGCTAAAATTAAAGGAGCATCATCCTTTCACTGTTCCTCCCTTCAGCCAAAAAAAAAAAAAAAAAAGTACACATCGAGTTCCATAGACTTAAAATATTTTCAGTGATATATACAATGTTATTTTAAAGAAAGAGAGTACTAACCATGTGCCTGGAATTGTGCTAAGTGTTTTACAGGTACCTGCCCAACCATTCACAAAACAACTCAATGAAAAGGCTTCTACTATTGTTTCCACTTGATAGATAAGGAAACTGACTCAAAAAGAAACTAAACCTCTTGCCCAGTGCAACCCAGCTATTGGGCACTGTAGCTAAAATTTAAACTCCAGCTTTCTGATACTGGGCCAACTCACAACTATAATACATGGTTTTTTATGTAGATCCATTGAAAATGTGAACTCCAACCACCAGAGAAAAATAGAAGGACCTAGAATGCATGCTACAGGGGAATTTCCAGTCTGCAAAGCACTAGAGGATACTGCTGGGGTATCCATCCTACCCCTAATTTCCCTGCCTCCTGAACAAGGCAGCTAGGTGGTCATCCATATGTCTGATACTTTCTAATGAAATTAGTTTAGAAATTTAAACTTCCATGCTTAAACATAATTTTTCTATGGCCCTGTGAACACAAAGGAGTTCATGAAAGACATATCCAGAAATAGAAGCTTTGGAAAGCTACTTAAATTTTTATCCTAATTCAGAAGCTCAATCTTTATTTTATATATGTATAATCTTTAATACAGAGATTATAAAAGGCAAATTGATGAATGAATAGGAGACCCTCCCATGCCACTCTGTGCTGAGAGATGACCTTCACAGTTCCATTTCCTGTGGATACTAGAGTGTGTGGTTTGCTTGAGCTCATGGTTGGTAGGGACCTTAAAGGTCATCTTGCCTTATGACTACAGCAAAAACTTGGAAGCAGAAAGGTCAGCCCCAATATCTTGCCATTTTCTTTTTGACAGTTGGAGACAAAGTGAGAATCAAAAAGAAATCTTTGTTTGTGGCCAAAGACAGAGAAGCCAGACCACTCAGAAAACTATATTTGTATTCACTTTCATGCTGGCAGCAAGAAATAAATACTTGTGGTTAATCAAAAGAATAGACATTTGTTGTATTTTAAGGCAATACAAAATTTGAGGGAAGACTGTGTTTTAAAAGAGAAACATAATTGAAACATATGATCAAGATAAGATCTGTGACTGCCCCTCTACCCAAAATAAGAGAGAGAGAGAGGGTTTCAAATCCCCTCCCGGTTGTGTCTCCTGTGTGAGCCACACTTGGAGACTTGCTTTGGTAGTTTTAGTGCAAAATAAAGAGAAATGTCTAAAATCAAATGTTTGAGAGTTGAAATAAAACTCAAAGATTGCAATTTCCTAACATATATTTATAGGAAAAGAATCTACAAAAAGCTCTATATAGTGGTTTAATTAAAAAGAATTAATCAAAGTGTTGGAGATTTTACGTGAAAGCAATTGAGTCTGGGAAGTCAGATGGACTGAGTTCAAATGTAAGCTTTTCCTCTTACGAACCACATTTCCTGGGCAAATTACTTCATATCTCCAGTAGTAAATTTCCCCATCTACATAATGGGCATAATAATTCCTACCTATAAGATTGCTGTGAGATTTGGGTGTAATAGTGTGGGGTATAAAATCCTTGGCACTTCTTCTTTCTCTCCCTCTCTTCCTTCTATTTTAATGACCTTCCTGAAATTAGAAATGTCCTAGGGGGGTGGGAACACCTTCCACCGAAATAAATACCTGAGCAAAAGTTGCAAAACCCCAATGCAATACCATCTACCACAAAGGAACTATAAAATATTCGGTTCATCTTAGTAGCAACACATAAATTTCACATCACATAATGCTACAAAAAAAACATTAAATTTCATTTGTGACATACTTACTGTAAAATTGTAAGTATAATTCATAGAAAACATTTCAAAGTTTTTCTTTGTGTGGCGTGATCCCCCTTTCAGTTCCCTGAAGCCACAACTTACCATTTGAAAGAAAATTAACATGCATGACATAAATTTTCAGTACTCTAAAAAAATGGAAATGAAATTCAAATTCTATAAACACTTATGTGTAAAAGAGACAAAAAGTCATACGAAAACTACTACTTCTTTCAGAGGTGTGTGTCTGATAGACCAGTTAGTTTACATCTAGGATCTAAATTTGTCTGTTTAGTTTTCAAATCAAATAGAAAAATTAAAAATACTGCTGATTTAGGCACACCTGGGTGGCTCAATCAGCTAAGCATCCTACTCTTGGTTTCAGCTCAGGTCATGATCTCAGGGAGATCGAGCCCCGCCTCCTGCTCTGCACTCAGTGTGGAGTCTGCTGGAGATTATGTCCCTCCCCCTCTCCCTCTGCTCTTCTTCCTGTGCTCTTTCTCTCGCTCTCAAAGAAAGAAAGAAAAGAAAGAAAGAAAGAAAGAAAGAAAGAAAGAAAGAAAGAAAGAAAGAAAGAAAGAAAGAAAGAGAAAGGAAAAGAAAATATTTTTTTAAAAAATACTGTTTATTTAAACTACATCAACTCTCCTATGGAACAAAAATGGAGGGTAAATTTTCAAAAACACATGTTGCCCATTGATATACAAGGACCGCAGGAGACATTTCATACTTTGCACACATGAAACACCAATTTCTTCCCATCAGGCCCTCACAACCTAGAGAAATCATCTGGCGGCATGTTGTCATTTGAGTTTTAACACATCCATTTTGTGAGTTAATCACAAAGGAGTCACACGCTTGCCCTTCCACACACTTTACCAAAGGCTTTGGGTTTGAAGGATGTTTTAAGGGTGATCATATCAAAAACAATACTACTTCATAGAAATCTTTATAAGCAGGAATTTGTCACTCAAAGATCTTATCTTGGCTGGAAGAAATGACAAGCAGATTATGTTTTATTATAGCGTTTGTATACTATGCATGTGAATCCATACAGTGTAATTGTAATAGATCTGCACATATATATATGCCATCTGCATATGTGTGATGTTTCATAATCATTGCTCCATTTTCTCCTTGTATTATGCCATCATCTTTGCTGTGTGGCTCAGTACCATATTATTTTCATTTCGACCACAGCTGCATCATTTTTGCTGCCAGATCTCTGGTTTTTTTGGAGAAAATATACAATTTAAAATTGTTTTTTTTCTTTTTTTTTATCAGAAAGGAAAGTCATCAAGAATTAGATTTTATTTTAGGAACAAAGTAAGGTTTCATGGGAGAAAAAAACAAAGCCTTGGTGTAGAGAAGGTTTGTTCATTTTCTATAGCATTACTGAAGTGTCCGTATGCCTTGATAAACCTATCAATGTTTGGATCATCTCAATGGGGGAAATGACTTAACTTAACTCTATTTTGGTGTCTCAGCAAAGGTAAGTTGTCTATTTTGAGAGCCTAACTGGGTCATTTTATACTACTGCATCTGTGAATGAAACCCCAGAGTCTGCCCAGCTAGCTTGGGGCCTCCAGTTTCCCCAAACAGAAAAAGGTGGATGGCCAGTGGGTGGAGGAGGAGGTGTGGGAGCTGGCCAGGGACATACTCTCTGGCAGAGTTGCCTCAGACCAATATCTCGTATTCATAAAAACCCAGGTGAGAGACAGATCAGTGGAGGAGGGAGCTAGTTTGGTTACACTGATGTTCTACTATTTCATGTTCTCCAGTGTCTCTCTTTCAATGCCATCATGGAAGAACTGGGAATCTCACTCAAAAATCAGAAAAAGCTAAAGAAAAAGTCAAGAACTAAAGGGAAATCTCCCTTCACAAGTATCCTTACTTGTCATCAGAGACGAACTCAGAGGAAAGAGACTGTGGCATAATCCAAGAACACATCTGCAGGCAGCTTTCAGAAAGAGAAACGATATGCTCGCTACAGGTTTTAAGAGAAAGGATTCCTGACAAGTGTGTGACATGTTTCCATGTATCTAGATACATAAGTCTGGTTATGTATCTAGATATAAGAAATAGGAAATTTTAAAAAGCTCACATAGATCGTACGTGGGAAGTGGCACTGGTTCTTTTGAAGTGAATTTGTATTTTCACTTATTTTGCCTTTTCTCTCTTCTCGATAAACTGCTGTGTGTGCTTTCTAAATAATAATAAAACAACAGGGTTTTTTTTTTTTCCAGAACAAGTTCAAGTGTTGGTTTGTTCCCCTTTACTTGGCTCCCATTCACAGTGTTTGGTTGTCAAGTGTTATCTGTTGTCAGTTTGCTATTTTGATGACTCTTCTTACCTGTTAAGACAGACAGAATTATTTCTGGCTAAGTTAAAAAAAAATACTTTTAGTTCATACCAAATACCTAGCTATTATAGTAAAGTAAAACTATTCATCTTTGTGCTTTAAAACGTAACTTCATAAACACTTTAAAATGGCACTTGGAACATTGGTGAGCATAAGATAAAAGGATTCTAAAAAAAAAGAGATATTCATTCCAAAAATAAAAGTGTCTACCACATTCTGGGCACTGTTCTAGGTTCTGGGAATACTGTGGTGAGGAAGGCAGATATGGTCCCTGCCCTCACATAGTTTACAGTTAAACAAAAAAGAAAAAACATGCTATTACTCAAAGTGGGATTAGCATTTCCTCTATGGAAGTCAGAAGCTGAAGGAACATGCAGGAGAAGTATTCAGCCATAGAAGTCTTCCTGAAGGAATGTATAGCTCAACTAAGATGACAAGTTAATTAAGTGAAGGGAGGGACATAAGATGGAGAAGCAAGCATTCCAGGCTGAGGAAGCATCATATCTGAAGGCCCTGAGAGAAGAGCAAATAGGGCCAGAATTGCAGAGGGAAAAGAGCTGGGTGTGTGGCAAAATGCAAGAGGATGCAACGCGTCTCACAGGTGACAATCACTCTGGCTGAAAGTCAAGAAAGGACTAAAGGCAAGGAAACTAAGGAAGAAGAGACAGGGTCACCTGAAGGCTCTTTCAGGAACCCTGGGAAAGGACATTGCAGCCAGGCCAGAGCAACAACAGACAGACCACTGGATGACCGAGGTAACTTAGAAACACAACTCATGTGAGAGATCCAGAGATTCAGACGGTGGTCATGAGGGAGGGAAGAACGGGGTTGAGGAAAAAGTCCAGGACTGAGGCAGGGGGAGAGGGAAGCTTCACTGGAGAGTTGAGGTATTATTCATTATACTGGGAACCAAGGGAAAGGAGCAGGCACTGGATCAATATTTCATATGATTAAGTCCCATTAGTTTCTGTAGGATGATTCTATCACTAAAAGAATCTTTTAGTCTAGTCCTTGTAGAGTTTAAGTACAAAACTGTTTCCAGGGCGCCTGGGTGGCTCAGTTGGTTAAGCGACTGCCTTCGGCTCAGGTCATGATCCTGGAGTCCCGGGATCGAGTCCCGCATCGGGCTCCCTGCTCAGCGGGGAGTCTGCTTCTCCCTCTCACCCTCCCCCCTCTCATGCTCTCTTTAAAAAAAAAAAAAAAAACTGTTTCCAGACATCAAAAGAAAAAAGTCACCTTTAAAAGAGCAATAACATATATTGGACAGATATTTTTCTATTATTATGATCAATGCTCAAATTTGGGATCAATCGGAATAAGAAGACAATGTATTGCATTCAGAAAAAATCATTAAAATGCTTACATAAAAACCATGAAGATGTTTACATTGAAAACTATATGCTTACAGATAGAAACAGACAGAAAAACAAACAGAAATATGGTGAACCCAACAGCTGAAGATGGACTAAAATGATAATATATTAGAGGGGAAATATGTAATTTACTCAGTTCACTAAAAATTATACCAAAGACATTCTATTCTCCATTTTCTAATGTGACAGTATGATACTTTTCTCTCATTTCAGAAAATATTACTGTATCTTTTTACAGACTGTTACAGTAATTTGTGGGAAAAGAAGTATTTCAGCTTCTAATACCTAAAATATATTGTGTGTCAATCTGGTTTACAGGTACTTTAAGGCCCACTAACCACTTTCCTTTTCACTTAGCCATAACTGCATTTTCATTCAAGGCATATAATACTTGCTATGAGTAAATTGGTTAAAAAATATATTGAACTAGGCAAAATTGCAGAATAGGACTTTTATGGCAACTACTAAATGTGCATGATCTTCTTCCTTCCTCCACCCCAATATTTTCATTCTGAAAGCACATTTGGTGTGAATGCATGTACATATGTTTCTGTGTGTCTCTATGTGTTAGGGCAAAGAACAGAGTAAGATAGTGAGTTCAGAGGAGAGAAAAAGAAGAAACTGTGGAATATCTGGAACTTCGTCCAGAAAAATCCCTGAGAACAACCATTAATCTTGGAGATTTTCATCCTTTTCACCAAAGAACAGTGATTCATACACAGTTATGTGAAAATCAATGGCAAAGTTAATTAAAAACTGGATCTTACATTTCTTTCTTCAGCAATTTCTTGATGCTCATAGAAAAAGATTACCCAGGTGAAATATTCAGCCAGAGAGAGGGAGGTCAGTGTTGATTGAAAGACAATGTTCATGGTTAACATTTATTTTCCTTTTCAAGTTTCCAATCTGGGCCTTTCTTGCCTTTAGTACAGAAAAAGGGAAGAGATGATCCCTTGCTTGCATTGACCTCATGGGGTTGTTGACACATCTAGGAGTTCAGAGTTTTCAATTTTTAGCCTAGAGGAAGCTGGAGAGAGAGAAATGAAGAGGAAGTAGGTCAAGGAAACTAGACAAAGATCAAATAGATCAAACTTCTTGTTCTCTGTCTCAGCAGTTCCTGCTTTAATTTAACCCTTTGCCTGATCCAAAAGACTAAACATGTTCTTTTTTTATGTCAAGTTTTTATTTTAATTCTAATTAGTTAACATATATAGTAAAATTGGTTTCAGGTGTAGAATTTAGTGACTCATCACTTACATATAACACCCAGTGCTCATCACAAGTGCCCTCCTTAATGCCCATTACCCATTTAGCCCATCCCCCACCCTCCTCTCCTCCATGAACCCTCAGTTTGTTCCCTATAGTTAAGGGTCTCTTATAGTTTTCTCCCCTCTCTAAATCAAGAAGATCCTGGGATTGTCGTTTCAAGGGAGGAATAATGTAAGAGTGACTGTTCTGGGAAAGGTATTTCTAGGAGCTATCCATGCAGTGTGATTTTTTTTTTTAAAGAAACATAAAGTCTACCAGTCCCAAAAGATATGGTCCACCAGATTCTCTCCAACGTCAGAGGGGGCGATGTGTTTGGTAACAAAGTGAAGCATTGTCTGAAAGAGACTCAAGTTACATTCTACTTGCTCAAGGCATTTATTAGTTGACTCCTTCAGCTTGGAGCAAGGAGAAGGGAACAGGTATTCACTGATCAAGGATGTCCAGAGGAGTGTCACGAGTGTACAGGGCTACGACAAACAAGCCATTCCACCTAATGTAAAGGAGTGCTTGGAGAAGAAGCCTGTTAGGGCGGGGAGGAGGTAATAAACAGTGAGGCTGGGACTTGAAAGGCAAAATCAGTTCTCAGTTTTGTTCATGTCTAGTCCTGTATACAAGGGGAAATTTTTTCCAGTTACATTTCTTAAAAAATGGCTGTGTGGAGGAAAAAAGCAGGACAAAATAGGAACAGTAAATCCACCAGAGTAGGGACATATATGCTATGTTTACAAGTAGTAACTCAAAGTCCCGTAAGTCTTGGGAAAGAAATGACCGACGTTAAACCATACTGACAAGTTGACACTTAGAAATCCAGAAGTGTGTGGGCTGGGTTTGCAGATGAGCATCCTCATACTAGGTCACAAGTGTACCAGAGAGGTTGCTTTTAAGCTTTGCCCACAAGATAACCAATTAAAGAAGTTACTTCATTTTTACACAACCTAGTCAGTTAACTGAGACTCCAGAAAGGATTTGTGGGCATATATTGTCTGGCTTGCTTATTTAATTCATATGCTTTTTCCTTCCTTTTCCCCATCATTTCCCATCCCCTTTTCTTCATTCATAGAATGTCCAGATGTCCTAGTCTGCCCTGAACAATTCTGCATGAAGCCTGAAATCATGAAGTCTTATAAGTTAAGTAGCCCCCTAGCCCTCACAAAAACACCCCAATGTGGACAATAAGTCATAGGATATTTTGCTCGTTGGTCCTCAGACTTCATCTTCTTGGCAGCCACAGAGCTCTACTAACAAAGTTGAAATTTCTACTGATGGCAAAAGAGAAGCCTCATCCAAATGGAAGGCAAGGGACCACTATCCACCATCTAAGTAATCCAGGATAATCTGGAAGGAGTCCGATTGACTTTGATATTTCATTTGGACATTATGAGAAAGATTATACATATATAGGCATAGATGGATGTACATATAAATAAATGATAGATAGATGATAGATAGATGATTAGATAGATAGATGATAGATAATAGATAGATAGATAGATAGATCGATAGATAGATAGATCCCACTGTCTTAGTTTGATACGGATTATGCTCCTAGTATATATCAAAATCATGCTATCAGATGTTAATCATTGTAATAGCAGCTATCACTTAAAAGGGATGTGCTGAATCCAGTTGCATTATATGTACTTCACAACATGTGCTCATTTAATAGTGATAGCAACCCTAAAGTAAACATTATTTTTTACAGAGTTAAAAACTGAGGTTCAGAGGGCTTAAACAGCTTGCCCAAGGTCACTTAACTATAAAGTGGCAAACGATGCAACATAACCCCAACCACATCATCACAACCACACTCCCTTCCTAACTCTGAGTACTGTTGGCCAAACTCAGGCTTCCCCCAAAACATACCTGATCTTACAGTGTCCCCTCAGCAGCCTTATGAAGTTGGCACTCTGTATTATTGTTTCTATTTCAGAAAAGGAAATTGCAAGAAAAAGGAGTAAGTAGCTCCCCAAAGGCAGACTGCCTGTTGGTTGAAGAACCAAGATTCTAATTTCAATCTATCAGAGTCCAGAGTCTCTTAATCACAGCACTAAATGGACTTATGTACTTAATTTTTTTGTTTTATTTGTATTAAAACAAATTCTTGACCCAACTTTTAAAGGAGTATCATAGGGCAATTAGTCATCTCCCATTATCATTTAATAGAATAAATAGAGAGACAGCTATTAATGTTTCCAGGAAGCAATATCGAAGAATACCAATGCCTTGCCAAGGTACTTAAATAGT